AAAAAAAAAAAATAATTAATCTTTTAATTGTAAAAAAATCCATCAGATAATTAAAACATAGAAGATTAGATAAGTTCATGAAACAAATGTGCACAAATAAAAGTATAATCACAGATTATAAAAAATCGTACACTGCAAAACACGTGTTAAATCTTGACGAAATTATAAAATAGATCTCCTATATTAAAACACTGACCTAATGCGAATAAAAACAATGAAAAAGAAACAAAAGAGCATTTTTTTCGAAAGGATTCAAAAGAATTCCTACGAGACACATAAGATACAGATATTTCAGCTTATCGGAAGAATCTCACGTCTTATCGCGCTGTGACAAAGGGACAAAGAAGTGATGCCTTAACGAGAACAATGATGGAAGACACGATCGTAAATAAATTCGAACCGATTACCGATAATCGAACAAAACACTTCACGAGAAAATCAATCAATCTTCTTTAACTTTTGGTCCTCACGAAATTCAACACCGAACGGAAAAATACGCAAGAAAAGATCTATAGTACCGAAGAAAAAAGGAGAATCCATCGGTCCTTGGGGGGGGGGGAAGGACGTGGAAATCTCTGAACTTTCTTGCGGTAGTCGAAAGAAAGCTTTCGCGTGAAAAATCGTAGAGAAAAAGGGAAAATGTGCTAACCTTATTCTTCACTCTCATCTATTCCCTTGGCAAAAGCAGAACGGCATTTCAAACGCAGCACGCGTGATGTACCGCACTTGACTTAATCCTTGCCTTCTTCCTTGGTCTTTCCTTCTCCCCTTTACCTCCCTCTTCCCTCTCATCAACGTAATTTGTCACCAATCCAATTCGGTACCTGTTGCGCACGTACACGTATCGCGGGCGTATCGGGAACGATTAATGTTTACATTAATCAGATTCCACTTAGGGCAAAATTCGCGTGCGATGCTCAAGATATCGCGATTAAAGTGAGTCGAGCGAAATCATCGTGAATCGATAAACAGGATACTTACGTTTTATCTCTTCATTGATATGTGACGATTCCATTCCGCGTAACAATAACATAAAGATATCGTCGAATTCAGACGCCGTTCCCGCTAACTCTAACGGAAATCCCCTCCTCGAAATCAACAACTCGGATCAAAATTCATCAAAATGGCAAAGGTTCTTCCGAATGATGTGGTTAAAAGATTGCGACACGATTGGCCGACATTGGGCGAATTCAAGACGGCAAAGTGGGTAGTAATGCTTGCCGAGCGAATGAGTATGATTAGATGCATCCTCATTTCAAAATACACAATCGAGCCCTAAGCTCTGCTCGCCGAGTAATTAAGCATGATTAGTTGGATCTATAAGTAAGAATCAATGGGTGCATCCAGAAGCACGACCGCTCACTGAGAGCTTAATGAGCTCTTTTACCTGTTTGGTCTACATTTTTAGATCTAATGGAATATGCCAATCAAATGCAAGAGCTCATTAAGCTCTCAGTGAGCGGTCGTGCTTCTGGATGCACCCATTGATTCTTACTTATAGATCCAACTAATCATGCTTAATTACTCGGCGAGCAGAGCTTAGGGCTCGATTGTGTATTTTGAAATGAGGTGAAAATTGCAAAAGTGAACAAATTCACTAGAATATTCATAATTTAATTGGTCAATACCTAGTAATGCTTGCTCACTTTTGTAATTTTCATCTTATTTCAAGATACACAATCGACTCTTTAGCCGCTGTGTCGACTTGAACACGCCCATTGCTAGAATATTAACCAATCGCAATTTCGGAGTCATATTTTCACTTCCGCTTTCTTAGCAAATACATAGGCGCCATATTTCAACTCTTCTCTCATTCTAAAGATTGCTATTTAATTCTACGTAGTTTATTAAATATTGTACGTAGTTTACAAATATTCCAATGTCATTTAGTTACATTAATTAGTTCACATCATTGAATCATTCAGCTTCAACGTATTTATTTTCTTTGAAATATTAGGAATACCTAACTAAATAGGTCTGTTCACATTGCTTGCACTTTTTGCACTCAACATCTTTGTATTCTTTCTTTTCACATTCAAATTATATATAT